ATAAACGAGAGCTTATACTGCGTTACTATGTAAGATTATGTATAGTAACGTAGTTTACTACCGGATTACTATTTACTATGTTAGATATGGCTTTTGGACATTTTTTTAATAATAGTATAAAAAGTATACTTAGAGTAAACTTATAACATTTACTAAATTGACTGAAAAAATTTAAAAAGGTTAACAAATAAACGTCTATCAATAAATACAAATGATATCGCTTTTATTATTACTTAATTTTTTCTCGACATTTTCACTTAAAAAATACAAAAAGTTATGCATCTTTTCATGTTGAGTGATGAATTTAATTAAAGATACAATATTTAAATACTGAATTAGTAAACATGTTTACTTTATTTACATGTTAATTAAAGTTTAAAATATTGTATGTGTAATTTGGTTGTGATAAAATGTATATATTGTGGAATATTTTATTTATTGGTTTAATCTTAACTAACCTACTAAAATATTTAAATGCGTTATTGCATATTTTGAACTGGATCAAGAGAAAATTGAAAAGTACTGTTTGTTGGAGATTCAGAAGCTCTTGCAGTCAAGAGGTAGAGATCACTACGCGATTTTGCTGGCATACCCTTGCTACCTGATGATGAAATGCCCTCATTTGAAGAAGTTCTCATTCATGAAGAGCTGCGGTATAATAAATCATATTTGATGGAGGAGCATGCAAAGTTGTTGGCTGAGATGACAGATGAACAACGTGTTGTGTATGACAGAATAATGGAATTTGTAGCTCATAGAAACAGGGAATTCTACTTTTTATATGGTCACGGAGGAACTGGGAAAACATATCTATGGAGGACTTTGTGTGCAGCTGTTAGATCTCGCGGTGATATTGTTCTTAACGTTGCTTCAAGTGGTATAGCATCGCTTCTGTTGCTTGGAGGAAGGACCACACATTCGAGGTTTGCGATTCCACTTAGTGTTGTAGAAGACTCCACGTGCAACATAAAACATGGTAGTCCGTTGGCTAAGCTGATAGAGTTATCTAAGTTGATTATATGGGATGAGGCACCGATGATGCACTGACACTGTTTCGAAGCTCTTGACCGAAGTATGAGAGACGTGCTTCGTTACTACAACCATTGTGATGCTACCTTACCTTTTGCCGGGAAGACAATTGTATTTGGTGGTGACTTTAGGCAGATTCTTCCTGTGATACCAAAAGGCACGAGACAAGATATTGTGCATACTGCACTGAACAGTTCATTCTTGTGGTCACATTGTATTGTAGCGAGGCTTACTAAAAACATGAGGCTCGCAAGGATGCTCGGCCAGCCGGTTGGAGCAACTATCCAATCTTTTGCGGAGTGGATTTTGAAGATTGGTGACGGAGCTTTTGCTGAATATCAAGATGGAGAATCACTCATTGATATACCATACGAAATAATCACTCCAATGACGTCTGAACCTGTTGAATATATAATTCAAGCTATTTATCCTAATTTCTTAACCCAGAGTGATCCGATTAATTATCTTTATTCCAAGGCTATTCTTGCTCCGACCATAGATGAGGTTGATAAAGTTAACGATTACATGTTGAGCCATATAGATTCAGAGTTAAAGACGTACCTAAGCTCAGATTCAGCTTCTTCATCTGACTCAGATAGTAATGATTTCTTGCATGAGATACATTCTACTGAACTTCTTAATAATATCAAATGTTCTGGTTTGCTGAATGATGAGCTGAAGCTGAAAGTTGGAGTTCCTGTGATGCTTATGAGGAATATAAATCACTCATCTGGATTGTGCAATGGCACATGGCTTCAGGTCACTAAACTTGGAGATCATATTATTGAGGCTCTGATGATGCATGGAGAAAATGCCGGTGAAAAGTTTCTTATTCTCCGCCTTACTTTGACTCCATCGGACATTAGTCTCCCATTCACTTTTCAACATAGACAATTTCCGTTAATGGTTAGCTATGCAATGACCATTAATAAGAAACATGGACAGTCATTGGAAAAAGTTGGCATCTTCCTCCGTCGGCCTGTTTTTACACATAGACAGTTGTTCGTGACGGCCTCGAGAGTAACAAGTCCGTCTGGATTAAAGTTTGTTATATGTGTCGAAGAAGGGAAACCAACGAAGTCAGCATTGAATTTAGTATACAAAGAAGTTTATCCTCCCATCGTACCGCCCGATCGGTGTTGGGGGGCCTCAAGGATGGCATGTTATCCTTTTTTTACAAAGAAGTTTATACTAATTTATAGTTCCCTTGCTTTACATACATGCATACTCATTGCTATGTATATCGCATCATGATTTGTACTTAACTTTGAGCATTATTTTTTTAATTTCGTATTAAATATGAAACTTATTTTATTTTATGCTTTAAATTGATTATTTTGTTTTAGTTTTTAATTATATGTTTTGAGTTAGGTTAATTAACTATGAAATTCTTTGAGTTTATGTACTCCATCCGACCCAAAATGTGAAAATGGTTGGCCAAATTTCCTTTTGGCAGTCCAAAAAAGGTTTGTCATTTCCATTTAAAGTAAGGAATATGTGGCTAAATTTAATTCTCTCTTATCTGCACAAATTTCAACCATACAATTTGTACTTTGTTAATCAACGTGAAAGTCAATATTGGCCAACCATTTTGGGATGGAGGGAGTATGATTTATCCAAACATCTTCACTCCCGTGCGTAGCACGGGTGGAATTACTAGTTACATTCTTATAGGGCGTTTCGAAATGATCCTTGTCAGGCTTATGAGAAAAGAGATGCTCACGTCCCTTTTTAATCATCTGTTATGTGGGAAAATATCCATAAAACTAATCTTGTGTGCAATTTCACATAACTTAATTAAATATATTAATCATTGACATTCACATTATGTTAATCTTGTTAAAATAACATTGGACATTTTCCCCCGCGCATCGCGCGTTATAGAACTAGTAACCAGATAAGAAAAAACTACTACAAAGAAATACTCCGTAGGATTCTAATAAGTAATAATGAAAACAGTAAAACAACAAGTGAGTTTGGGATTGGCCTCCCACGACGAATGCTCCGCCTTGGTTCATCAAAATATAAGTAAAAACATTATAAATATACTCTATGATATTTTATGTTAGTGTTTTTTATTTTTTGAAAGAAGTAAACTTATCTATTACTCCGTATAACGTTTGAAAATAAGAAGAGACAAAACAATACTCCACAACAGTTTAACTTTGATATTCAGACGAGTTAAGATGTTTTCTTTTGGACTGTTTTTCAGTTCCAGACCAGACTTAATTTCCGTAGTTCTAAAATACACAGAGACCGTACATTTACCAGACCAGCGAGACCAATTCAGACCAGACCAGCAAATTTCAGTCCAAAAGAAAACATTATTAAGGATGTTTTCTTTTGGATTGTTTTCAGTCCCAGACCAGACAGACCAGATCAGACCAGATCAGACCAGATCAGACCAGACTAGACTAGACTTGACTTTCGTAGTTATAAAATACACAGAGACGAGACGTTTACCAGACCAGACCAGACCAGTTCAGACCAGACCAGTTCAGACCAGACCAGACTAGACCAGACCAGCAAAATACATGAAAAATAGTTATAATAATGTTCTATAGTAAATTCAGTTAATTCAGCTAGAAAATTACTCCAACCTAATATACTTTGATTATTTCCCAATTCAGCGAGCGAAGTCAAAATTAAACTACGCAATTGATTAACACATTTGACGATAAGATGAAAACAAAGGTTGCCAAACGGGCTCATAGATTAGGGCGATGCTTGGCATATAGAACTGTAGGTGGAAATTAATGTCTGAATTAAAGTCTATTGTCTGAACTCAAGACTATTGTCTAGAACATAATTTTGAACTTTTAGTTGGATGAGGTAAATCTGTTTGGCAAAAAGAGCTAAAAATTAACCAGATAATAGGACATCAAACTAGAAATTTTCAAAAGCAAGGAATCCACCCTAAAACTCCATATTAGATTAGAATAAATCTTCCGAATCATTTTGCACATTCTAATTTCCTGATATAATACTAATAACAGTAATAAAGATGTTTTTTGTTTGGACTAATTTTTTAGCTTAAACATATACGGTGTGATATTATGAGTAATAAAAAACTATTACTCCCTCCATCTCAAAATTATCTTCATAGTTACTATTCACATTGTCAACTCAAATTACTCTTAATCTTTTACTTTATATATCAAATTTTTATCAAAATTAAATTTTCTTGATCAGGCTTTGTAGCGGTTTTAATGTAGTTTCTGAATATGTAAATTTTATTTACTAAAAATAATCCGAGTGTGAACAGGGATCGAGTTGCTTTATCGTCAGTCAAGCATCGTAAACCGAACTATGAAGATAAATATGGGACGGAGGTAGTATAAATTAACTTAAGGTACATGTATTCCAAATGTAAAACAAGTATTGCAATTTTAAAATGTTTTTTTTTTATATTTTTTAATTTTAAATATATTAATATATAACTTTATCCTTAAAGTCAAAATGGTGCAAACATAACTAAGCAAATACACATACAATACATTTAACAAAAAGAACTTTTAAAAACCCCAAATTTGAAAAACATAGGTTAAAATGCGGATGTGTAGTACCTAACAACACTTAAGAAGTACTTTAAAGTTAGATTCCTAGATGTACTTTCCATCTTTTACATATACATTTAACTAAAAAAATGTGTAGTTAGTTTTGAAAAAACAATAAACCAGGATGAAATTTAATGGAAAAAATAGGCATTTAGCATTTTCATTTTTTGTTTAGGTAAATATAGTTGAAAAGATTAATTTCATTGGAAGTTATTGGCTGCAAATATGTTTAGATAATTAGTTAAAAACAAAACATACTCAATAAATTAGAATATGTATTATAAACCAACGTTAAAATCGACTGAATAAGTAATTTTCTGTTCATAAACTAAAAATCAAAATCACTTAAACCCGTGTAAAGATACTAGTCTAAATATAAACCCAATATAAATATATATAACGCTAAAAGGTTGCTAAATACGGAGTATCTGATGTGGCTGTGATTCTGCAACTTGGGAACCTCAAGTTCTATCTCTAACCAATCTGTACTCTGTTAATTGATCTACGAAAATCGTGCCCTTCAGATATTTTGGTGCCAAGAAGATTTGGTTCCATCCTCCTCTTCATTCTTCTTCGTTCTTCAACCTTCACATCCTCATAAGATACGTAAGAATTAAGATCAACTCAGCTGTTCAGCGTGTTAATTGATTTGAATTAACGTTAAAAACCATTTCTTTCGATGTGTTCTGTCCGTGGGTTTTGTTGTTGCTGATTAGTTCTTATATTTTGTATATGTCGGTTGAAGCAAGAGGGTTTGAGAAGCAGTTCAAATAGCTGAGAGTGACACATGGGATCAGGATTAATTGTTTACGATAAAGATTCAATCTTTAAGGTAAAAAGAGTAGACTTGAGATGGAATCACAACTGGGTTTGATTGAGCAGTCCTTTAATGTTAGGTACTCAAGTTTGGTTAGAGATGCACTTGATAGCTTGCCTGACAGTTTTACCATAACTGATCCCTCCATTTCTGGTCATCCAATTGTGTATGCTTCTACTGGGTTCTTGAAATTGTTCGGTTATTCAAAGGAGGAGGTGATTGGTAAGAACGGGAGGGTATTTCAGGGTCCACAGACTGACCGGAGATCCGTTATGGAAATCCGAGAGGCCATACACGAGGAGCGTGCTATACAAATTAGTTTATTAAATTATAGGAAAGATGGGATACCGTTTTGGATGCTGTTTCACATGTCTCCTGTTTTCTGTGAGGATGGGAGGGTTATTCATTTTTTGGCAGTCCAAGTGCCTATCTTGAATAGGCAAACAAGGCTCGGTAGGAAGCAAATGAACCTTTGTAAGGATGGAGCTGCTTTTAGGGAGCCCATGTTCATGTGTTGTAGACGAGATGTTTGCTTCAATCCGGTTTCAAAATTTGGACCTGCATTAGCTTCACATTCAGTTTCTGGCTCGCATTATCCTGGTGAGTGATGTTCAGGGACCACTGTATATATCGGGTATCAAAGGCCATGAGACTTAAAAGAGCAACTAATCATCTAAGAAAAGAGCACTGATTATCAGTATGCTCCAAGGAGCCACCATTCACATATGTTAAGCATACCCTTTCATTCAGTTGAACTTTTAGGGCAGAAACTCAAGTTTAAATCAAATAGGATTTCATGAATATTTTGCTGAAATGACATGAATTCGCTATTTCGCTCAAAGCAAAAGGCTAAAACTGTTTGGTAAATTCCAGTTCAGCCAAATAAGTGAGCCACAAGCTACTTGTTCCAATTATTTTGCTTATTCTACTAATAAATAAAATAGTTTGAATAGGCTACCTGACAGGCTTTGTCTTCCATAACAATGTTGCTCATCAAATTCAACACCATTTCCACTAAATTTGCCATCTACAGAACCAGAGGATACCGATCCATGTGTGGCAAGTGATATAGAGAAGAGAAAATCTATGGCTGCTCTCAACAACATATTATCTGTTCTTATGAATTATAGTGAGTTGACTGGCAGATTGGTGTCTGGAAAGAGATGCACTCCACCTAGGACGGACCTTCTTGGTACATCACTAACATCATCTCTTGGTACAATCAAGCAAAGCTTTGTATTGTGAGTTTTATAACCCATTTCTCGATTTCTCTAATTCTTCCACATGTTTGATCTCAGTATGTTTATGCTCTATTTTCCTCATATGTTTCATTATTCCCACAAATTACGCAGAACTGATCCACACAAACTTGACATGCCAATCATATATGCAAGTGAGGCCTTCTTAAGAATGACAGGTGCGTATAAAGTTTCAACTTTTCTCAAATGGTTGTTTCAATAAGCTTGAGGGTATGATTAGCATCTACATATTTTCAATTAAATTTCATTTGTAAGTCTATTATGTTGCTTGCGCTTCTTTAAATAGGATATAATAGAGATGATGTTTTGGGACACAACTGCAGATTTTTAAGTGGTCTTGATACTGATTCCCTTACTCAATTCCAGGTGACTTTTTTTCCCCTAAAATTGTTTCAATTGCTCCAATCTAGTCATTTATTACAATATAGGGTGATCATTCAAAAAATGATTAGGGTAATTGTTGAAAAGAGAAAATAAATAATTTTGTTTACTTTTGTCTCTCAGATAAAAGAATGCATTAGAACAGAACAACCATGTACAACACGCATCTTAAATTACAGGTTCGTTGCTGAATATATATGTTGCTGCATTGAGAAAACAGTCACTGCATTTTAATTATGAAACATTTGTTTTCTTTATTTTGCAGAAAAGATAGGACACCGTTTTGTAATTTCCTGCATATTTCACCTGTTCGAAATGCAACCGGCAAGGTAATATCATCTGTATTTCATAATATGTGATTTTGTTGATAAAGCTTGATTATTAGGATATCATTGTGAGTGCGTATTATTAATTACCTCCATACATTATGAATGGATGCCAATTTGATGGCCTTTTAAGTTCCTACATGCTTATTGACCTGTTAATATTTTTGAAGATTGAGTGCAGTTAATATGGAACTACTTACGTTGGAGCAATGGATGATATTACTTATTACTTTACTTGTTTGTGAGAAATAAGACTGTAGATGTGTCTATTTTGAGTATAGTAATGACATCTTTTTCATTGGGAATGAATATATATGTGTGTGTGTGTATGAGTGTGTACATACATATGTATATTTACACACACACACACACTTATATATGTAATGTCTATTTTTGGAACAGAGTACTTGCTTGAGATAAATCTGTTATATATAGAGAGAGTTGAGTCCTGTCTATTTGAGTAGTTGAGCATTGTGACTTGATTACCTGTCCCAGTTAGATGTATGTAATTTTTAAGCATGTAAAAAAAGGTTCCGGACCTTATGTTGGATCTGTACATGGGACAGTAAAAATATACTCGTGAAATCTATGCTTGATTTATACTCTCTCTGCCCCGGAATGTTGTTAAGATCGCGATCCAACTCGCAGGATCGTACGATTTTACGATCAGAATAGGGAGGTACGATCAGAATGGGGAGGTGCCCCCCAAAAGAGTCCTCTTTCTAGAGTTGTTTTGTCCCAAAAAAGAGTGTTTTAAATGGAGGTTTAGTTTTTAAGGAAAGTTCGTGGGAAGCTACAATATTGGAAATAACTTTTAGATAAATAGTGAACATTCATATTAAGTTGTAAAAAATTGTGCATGACTTATCTGACTAAGAATTTGTACCTTACCCAAATGTGGTTCATTTTTTTTGTCACTATGGGAGTTTTGGACTTAAATGGTATGTGCAACAGTCAACTTGCCGTGACTTATGCTCTTTACCTACTGTTGTGTAGGTTGCATACTTTGTTGGTGTTCAAATAGAAGAAGATGCAGAGAATGCCCATGAGAAACATGGGTTGAGACCTGACAGGAGCCACTTAGGTGCTGTTGCTGCTGTCAAGGTTACGGTGAGAGGCTCGTCCATGGGAACCACCATCCAGTCGTAGTAATTCTCATATGGAGTTGTTGTAAACTTCCTCTACTCGGTATGTATCAAAGTATTATTGATCAGGGTTCTCCATTATTACCACTGGACAAATAGAGACATACGCTTTAGATTGTAATGCACATTCTTTGTATATTTACTGTGACATGGTATTTGAATAAAATTATGAACACTGGTTCAATAATCAAATATGAAATATCAGGGAGATACATTCACATATAACACCTTGGGTTACTCTGTGTATCAAGTTGACGATAAGAACCCAAGTCAATATTGTATGAGAGCCCATTAAACTCCAACAAGACTTGATAAGTTTCAATAATGAGCATACAAACTTTAAGATTAGTATGCTCTAACGAGTTACAATCTTGTAGGCCATTTTAGGCCATCACAAATATACCAAATGCGTAAATACATTCACTTCTAAGATTTTAAATTAATCCTTCTGCTAAGTGGTCATCTTAGGGTGGATCCCAAGCTCTTGTAGGTTTGTGCTTGTCTAATTTACAACCGTCAGATCAAGATCTGATATTCAGGATCAAACAAGCATAAAAAATCGACCCCCTCTAAATTCTTGTTGGATCGCAACCGTCCCGTTTAGACAAGCACTAAAGGCGGTTGGAGAACTGCACATATTTACTCTAAGGCCTACCTCAAGATGATTCTGAACCATATTTATAATTTTAAATTTCTCATTTGCTGCATTAGGATCCAGGAATTGATCAAGCAGTGTTTACAGAAAAAAGACTGGGATTAACTTGGTTGTTCCTGACTTGCCTATATGCTATTTGCTAAGCGTAAATATTAGGTTAGTCATGGCAAATTGATGTACTTATAGCGTGATGCCCAGAAGAGATAGTGGATGAAATTCAAGAGGCTGAGAATGCACATGAGCCAGTAGAATCGCTCTAAATGGTAATGATTCAAATTGTCACCAGAGAGCCATGGCCTGTGCCCTTTGGACCCAGTCATACTATTGACAATGGCGACGATGGCAGAGCTGAGGTAGTATCCGATGGCTAATGAAGTCCAAGACAGCGAGGTAGCCAAGGATCTCATACTACTCGGTGCTTCCGAAAAGAAAAACTCCAGCAGTCCAGCCAGTGTGAACAGATCAGCGGATCCCAAAAACAGGTACTGGAATGCAATCCAGAAGAATGTGATGGGAAGTGGCTCCTTTGATGAGCTGTCAAATCCTGCCGCCACATTCTTCCGCTTGACTTCCACTACAGCTGCTACTCCCATGGCTACAATCGAGAGAAACAACCCAATCCCTATGCGCTGGAGGTGAGATATCCCCATCTCCGTCTTGGTCATTTTTCGCATGCATGGGATTATGATGTGATCGTAGACTGGTGCAAGAATCATGATAAAGACCACAGGGAAAAATGGGAGTGAAGCAGGCGGGACTTTCATGGACCCGAGCTTCGTGTTCATTGTGGACGCTTGGTGGACTGAGAAGGTTGAGAGTTGTGCGAGGCAACAGCTGATCATGATTGTGCATGCAAAAACTGGCAAGGTTTTTATCACCACTTTTACTTCCTCCACTTCTTGCACTGAGCATTCTGCTCCTCTGCTTAAAACTGCCCTGTTGAGAAACCTCAGACTCTCTGATAATGGGAAATCAACTGACTGCTGCTCATCGTTTGTGCTTTCGGCCATATTAAAAACTTCTCCTTTTTCTCTATGTGTTACTGGAGAAGAGCTTGTTGGCATGCTTGCGACTGCGTTTCTTAAATTTCTTGAACCACCTGTATTCAAAATGGCTGCAACAAGAACCTGCAAATTTCATCATTAAAAAACATAGAGCTTCAGTTATTCTTGATATTAATATTCAAGAAAACATCATTTGATAAATCTAGAAAGTAACAAAACACCACTAGTTTCCTTTTTATTCATCAAAACTGTTTGAGGCCTATATGTTTTGATGAAGTAATGGATAGAACAAGTAAATTGAGTGTCAAATGAAATATATAGTTACTAAATTTATTTAATGTTTTCTTTTCCTTTCCATTTTTTTTTTACTGTTTTACATTCTATTATCTTTTTCGAGTACATTCTGGGATTGAAATGGTTTCCCAAGCAGTGCAAACTATGTAATGAATGATGTGGGGAGGGGGGGGGGGGGGGTGAAAACAATGCTGAACCTTAGATATGGTGGTGAGAGGACTTCCAGATGGGATCTTGTTCCGGTAAAACATGGAACCAGAAAGGAAAACTGGAATGGAGAGGAGGATGGCAAAGGTGGATATTCCGAACCCCCATTGCCACCCTTTGTTGTCTTCAACCCAAACCACAAGAGTGACTGCTATGAGAGCACCTGATGCGAGGGAAAAGACAAAGTAGTTGAAAAAAGTTGACCTCTGCTTTCTCCCTTGAGGGCTGTCTTGATCAAACTGCTCCGCCCCGTGGGCTGGTAAGGATCCCTTGATGCCGCCCACGCCCAATGCCACTAGGTATAAGCCCGTAAATAACACTGCCGCTTGTGTACCATGGACTGGCTCACACCCCGAGACACATGATCGTGGTGGCTTTAGTTTAGTTGAGAAAGCCTGGATTGTTAGCACACCTAATCCCTGGGTCAATGAAGTATAATTTTGTGAGTGTAAATCCAAAATATATGACATCAATTGAAAGTATTAAAAAGTATTGTACGAAGTATATGATTAGGAAATGATTGAAAGTCATAGTAAACAATTCGTTAGGGTCCCATATAAAGATTGAATGAGTTGGCTTTGTATGCATTAGATGCTGTTTATGATTTACTGTGGATTAGACGTACTTGAAGTATTTTTATGTTTTGTAAAATCGTTGAAACTTTGTATCTTGTTTGGACTCATTCAACTTAGTACTTTCTCTTATTCCTAAATCCTAATGACTTTTAAATGTTAACAATGGAAAATGCAGTGAAGAGTTGGAGAGTTTCCAAATTTTATCCTGAGATCGTCCTCTGTCAACTAGGTTGGCCTAAGGATGTTTTTACTTGGACTGTTTTTAGTCCCATATCAGATCAGATCAGACTAGTTCAGATCAGATCATACTTGGATAGTTATAAAATACATAGAGACCAGTCATTTAATAGACCAGACCAGTCCAACTAAAAACATGCTAAGCCAAGAAAGTGACAAGATCAATCATATGGATATTTATTGATATATCTTCTTGAACAAGGTTGCCTTAGGGTATGTTTGGCACAACTAGCTGAAAAGATACTTTTGTGATCTTTTTAATAATTGTTACTCCCTCCGTCCCAATTTGATGATCCCATTTCTTTTGGGCTCAAAGATTAAGGAAGTGGTTGAAAAGGTAAAAGTTGTGGTTGAGATTTGAGTAGAAAAAGGTGAAATGACGTGGACCACATATTTCTTTCCAAAAAGGGAAATGAGACTATCAATTTGGGACAACCCAGAAAGGAAATACGGGATCATCAAATTGGGACGAAGGGAGTAGCTTTTAGTGACTGAAAAGATCTTAAAAAGAAAAGATGGTAGCTATTTGGTAAAAAGCTGACTGTTTGATTTAGTTCGGTTTGGCATACAAGCTGTTATGACTAATTAGTACTAAAAGTCACGGGCTTTTCTCAAATGCTGCTCCCCGTAGCATCTCAAAAAAGATCTTTTAATTTTTGAAAAGCTCTTAAAAATTGTCATGCCAAACATACAACTAGAAGCTTTTAGAGACTTTTTGAACAATACAAAAGCTAAAAGGTAGGGACTTATGCATGCCAATTCAAACATAGCTTTAGTACTTAGTAGTGTAATTGATGAAATTAAATCCACTTGAATTTACCCCTTTCGAGTTTCGACACTGCCTATCAACCAATTTAGGGAGTGTTTGCAACAGCTTCTGCTTAAAAAAAGCACTTTTGGAGTGAATTGGAAAAAGTGATTAGTAGTAAAAGTTGATAGTGTTTGAGAAAAACGTGATTTTGAAATGTAAAAGTTGGTAGTGTTTGATAAAATAAGTGTTTTTTGTGTAATAGAAAAGGGAAAAGAACTTTTCACACAAAAGCCGAGAAAAGTAAAAATTGGTAGTGTTTGGTAAATAAATGTTTTTTTAAGTCAAAAGCCGAAAAATGCTTTTTTTAAGCTGTTGCAAACCAACCCTAAGAACATGAACGACAACCGACCTCAACCGGATGGGGCGGCAAAATAAACACTAGTCGTTCCTTTTTGCTCATCTCCCTCAACTCCATCAAGTATTATCTTTTATCTTCTTTGTTGTTCAAAAATGTCTAGAAAATGATTTGGAGCTCGAATGAGCAGTTATTTATTTCCTCATGTGTTTAGGTTTCTTATTATTCTGTCAATTTTGACATTTATTTTATGAGCAGTGGTGGATTCGGGCCGGGTCGGGCCCGGGTCGGGCCTAGGCCCGGCGGGCTTTTGGATACTAAGTGGTAGGCCCAGGACTGGCCCCGGTATCCACCAAGTCCGGGTCCGGGCCGGTTATAATATTTTTTTTATTCTTTCCTAACTACTCCCTGACCCCCCCACCCCCCCCAAACCGGGTCAAAACACCCTGGCGACTCAGCCCAACCCGTAAGGAAGCAAAAATAAATTGAAAAAAAAAAAGAATTTAGGCCCGAACCGGACCCGGGCCCAGCCGGGCCGGTTCGAATTTTACCTAGCCCGTACCCACCCCTGATAACTCCCCCAAACCGGGCCTAGACCCGGAACCGGTACCCAGTTCCCGGGCCGGGCCCGCACAGTACTGGGTCGGGTGGCCCGAACCGGGTCCAAGCCTATTTATGAGTGATTTCTTCTCAAATCAGACACTCTTCCATAATGTTATTTTGTTGTTTAATTGCTATCGAGGACAATACTCTTCCCGTCATGGACCTGTTTTTCTCAGAGGTTATCTTTCTTCTCAAATCGTTTATGACACTATTGATGGCTCGTCTCCCTGCCGAACCACTACCATTGATCGGAAGGATAACTCTATCTTTCTATCAGACCGGTGCATTTCAAATTGAAACCAAAGTCATTGGTGTACTGCTAGGCACAAGATATCTACAATTATGGTGAAATCAAGAGAGGGCGCTACGGCTACATGATTAGACATTGATGGCTACTTTCAACTATACTCTGTATTTACAATTTCGCTTATTTATGCACTTATTATTATTTGTTGTTCATTCATTTGAATTGGAAAAAATAATTCAAATATCCCAAACTTTGAAGGAGTGTGAGACAAATACCCAAACTTGCATGTGTAATTTAGATAACCCAAACTTTATATAAAAAGTTATTTTAGCACCATGGTCACATACTCCCTCCGTCTCATTTTACCTATCCTACTTTCCTTTTTGGGCTGTCCCAAAATAAGTGTCTTCTTTCTTTTTTTGAAAAAAATATATGTGGCCTACACCATTTCACTTTATTATACTCAAACCTCAACCATAACTTTTACTTTTTCAACCACTTCATTAATAACCGTGCCAAGTCAAACTAAGATACATAAAATGGGACGGAGGTAGTATAAAATTAAAATTTATGGTCATATATTTTATGGTGAAAATTATATGTTCATAGTGCTAACATAACTCTTTATATAACGTTCGGGATATTGAAATTACATATACAAGTTTGAGATGTTTATCTCACACCTATTCAAAGTTTGAAGTATTTTCATTCTTTTCCCCCTTTGAATTTACTAGAGAAACGGAATGTTTTCTATATCAAGTTAAAAGCATAGAGATCGACATGATCAATTAAACGTCCATTTGTCCTTTACATGATTAACGACTTTTGTGACTTATTTGTGGGAAGCAAAGTCCAAGTCTAATCGTTGAAATTTTTACTGGGGCTGGTATTACTTTGAGTCTATTGTAATGATCGTTGATTTATTAATTTGAATATAGAAGATTTCCATTAAAAAAGAACAGAACGCCTCTGAGCGGTGATAAGAAATTGTAGTTGCCTCCTCTTCTCTTATTTCAATCCAGTTTTGTTTCAAGATCCTTTTAATCTTGTGTATGTTTTCTTCCTAGCGCCGTCTACATATTTTGTATTCAATGGTGGACCCCTGCCTATCAGGTGTATTATCTCTACCATCTTTGGTAGGATTTCTTGTCTGTTAATAAAATGTTTCTACCGATCTCTTCTTTAACTATACATTTGATTTCTTCCTCACTGCTATTGAGACCGTTCACCCCTCCTGAACTATCGTCACGTCAGTAAGATGAGATCACATGGATTGCTTTCTTTCGGTAGCTAGTGAAATTGGAACAAATTCTACACATCGCTCCTTACCAGTGACTATCCCTTAACGATGCAATGGATGGTGAAGCCAAGATGCATGTCTATCCCTTAACGATATTTGGTAAAGGCGGTTCTTTGATAGTTATTTTTATCATAGTAGGAACTCAATCTGCAAGTAAAGTTTACATCTTAAATGTCTGAATTGGCTGATTCTGTTGATTTATGAAAAAATTATATTTAAAATATTTTTATTAATAAAATAAAGAAAAATTATATGAAGGATAACTAAAATGATTCTCTACAATAAATTCAGTCAATACAGCCAGAAAAGTAACTTCAATCTTACCTTTTCTTGTTATTACAAAATTCTTTTCTTGTTATTACAAAATTCACCGTGCGAAATCAAAAGTTACGTATTTGATGGAAAAGTTGACTGATTGATTTGATAAGACGTAAAATAGAGTCGTCGGTTTTTATCATTTTTGCCAATAATAATTAAGTTATGCATGAAAATGGCCGTTTTGGAATAAATGTCTGAATTTGATCCATTAAATATTAGGATCAGGTCCGAGTGAATTTGAATGGTTCATTCTAAGATGGTCAGTTGTTTTACTTGAATGAATAAAGTCGAATGGTGAAATTGCATATCAAAATCTACTTGATCGAATTGGAAAATTCAATACGTAGTATAATCTTAATATATATTATTATAAAAATAAAAAACCCAACCATAAGTGAATCAAACTAAATCGAATCAAATTGGAATATAGTATGACTAGCGCCATCACTTAACAGTATAGCAAGTAAGCAAACCCAACCAGAAGTGAATCAAACTAAATTGAATCAAAGCGGAATAGAACATGACTTTTGTTTGATAATCATTCTTCCAACCTGTTTCAATTCAAACTAAATGGAAAATTGATAAAAATCAATCTGAAATCAATACACACACCCCTAATAAAATATATGTTAAAGAAACCATCAATGTGCACTCCAAACTTTAAGGTTAAATTTAGACGTACAAGAAATTAATAAGAACTATGGCATATTTGCATATTTTTAATTGGATTGTAATTTTTGATCTAATTTGGTCTGTTTAAGTTTGATCCAGTATATACAAATGTCGAGATCTAGTCTTGTCTATCTAATCTGGTCTAGTATGTTGTGTTAATTAAAGTATGGTCTAATTAGATTTGATTGGTAACGAACTGAAACCAGTCGTACCAAAATTATCCTACCATAATTTAAGATTCCATTTTGTTAATTTATTGTATGAAAATAAGGTTCACAATTCACATATATTGTTAGGATTGGGGCATTATATTACGTAATTGGTATTCTTCCTTAAGTCGGAACTACTAAATCTTTCTCATTTTTTTAGATTCGAGTGCACGTTATTTCTTATGACTTATGAGACTCCAAGTGTATGAAATGAAGCAGATTCGTAAAACTTGTAGGTTATATATGTATGGAACGTTGTTTTTTAATTACAACATTGTACTACGTACGTAGTATATGTTAATTGAGAGAACTAATCTGGTTATGCGGAGGTCTTGTCCGGACAAGCCCGCTTGAGGTGTTTTCGACTCGACCCGAAAGCCCCTCAAATGAACTTGGCCGTACCTGTCTCACCAAATCAATTCTCTATTAAGAGGTGCTAAATAAACCATATTTTTAACTCAACACACACATATATATATATTGAACCACATTCTAAATTGAGTGTTATGGTACTCATCTAAAATTGGTACTCATCTAAAATCAAGGGGCACTATATCTAACATGTCCTTGATTGGCCCAAGTTATTGTTTCATCACTACTTTATATGGAGTATTTAAATAATTCAACAACAATATTCTAATCAGCGACTTTCTTGAAAAGAGTATGGTAGGTTGAGGGTATCATAGAATTTACCACATTCTAAACTACAACTTCAACAAATTTGATAATTTAATCCATTTTAAGACTATGTTTGGCACTGATAAGTCCTGCCTTCTAGCTTTTTGTACTATTTAAAAAGTCTTTAAAAGCATCTAGTTGTACGTTTTACATGTTGATTTTTAAAAGATCTTTTTTGAGATGCTACAATGAGTAGCATCTCAGATAAGTCTGTAGCTTTTAGCATCAATGATTCCCAAGAACTTGTATACCAAACAGAACTGAATCAATCAATCAGCTTTTTATCAAACAGCTACTATCTTTTTCTTTTAAGATCATATCAGTCACTAAAAGTTAACAGTTACAAAAAAACTCATAAAAATACTTTTTCAGTTAGTTGTGCCAAACATACCCTAAACCTTACTAATTTAAACCTTAACAAACGTGTTCTAAATACATTTATATTTACTTACCAAATCAAATAACAACTTTTTTTTTAGATTATTGACCAATCAAATAACATCATCAACATGAATTGATCAAAACAAATTAAATAAAAGAATGGAGGGCATATATTTGAGGCAGAAAAAGTAAATGTTACCAAAAACTCGAGGAGGGCAGCAAAGACATAGACGTGATAGGGAGTGAAGAAAGCGTCCGAGAAAAAGCCCCCAAGGAGGGCGAGCATGAAGGCCGTGCCCATGAAATTAGTGACGGAGTTGGCAGATTGCGAAGGAGAGAAATGCATTTGATGCGACAGGTACAACACCAAATTGCTTGCGTTCGCCAAGTATGCCAAGTTCTCCAACACCTCAACAACTTTCATCAATTATCACCCCAACCAATTCATTGCCATTAAATTACATATTCACATTCATTAAAGGCTCCAATGAAGAAAATATACAAGGCAACTATATTTGTTTTTATTTGTGTATGTTATATGTTTTGCCAAATATGCTATTATGTTCATTATTATAAAAAATGTAACCTAATCCTGAAAATTTCGCCCAAGGCCTGGAATACCATGCGACCCGCCCTGCGCTCAATCTCATCATTTTCTTCTCAAAACTAAGTGTACCAAATTATAAGTTTTTAAGAGAAATTACCTTGAATAAGATAAAAAATGTTTGTAAATTTCAAAATAAAACTATCATGTTTTTATTCTCAAAATAGAAATTACTTACATGGTTTGACGGTACCAAACTTTAAACATGGCATTATTTTCCAAAGTTGGTAATAATTACTCCCATTTTAGGAATAAAAATATGGTATTCATATTTTGGAATTTTCAAACTTTTTTACTCTTATTTCGGGAATTTTCCCTTTTTTTAACTACTCCATCTATTCATTTTACCAACCAATTACAATAAACTCAAATTAGAATATCCAAAATGTTCTTGAAATACATTTTCTTTTATGAGTCATCTCACATAGGCCATGTTTGGTTAATGGCTGATCAGCCAATTTTCAGCTTATTTGACCATTATTAGATGGTTTGACCAGCTAAGTTGTTAAATAGATGTGTTTGGTAAGTAGATGTTGGGCCTAGATGGTTACACTCGAAACGCCGATCTTCTAAACGCTAGCAAGGGCAACGTTTCCCTCTGGCTGATCGATACATCTTTATCAAATGCCTATTCGATCCTTTCTTTAGGCGTGCGTGCTTGACTCCTTTTCTTTTCATTTTATTTTTATTTATATCCTTTAAATTTGTTGCAACTTCTTTAAGTGCATTACGGATGGGATAAAGCTCTTTAAATGAGTAATGAATACCCAATTAAATTATCGTTCCTAGCTAATAAAAAATGTTGTCAAATATCACTAAGCATCCAAAATGATTTATTTTCTTTTCATGCAATAATGAATTTATACACATTTTCGGTTTCTTTTTTCCAACTAAAAATTTATACGCACTTTTGATTTCTTTTTTCCGTCTCTCACCTTTGATTGAAGTAAAATAATTTATACCTTGTAAATAAATGTAGGTAATATTGTTTTGGTATGCAATAACTAAAATAAAAAAAATACTAATGTCCTTAAATTAAACTAAATTAAAAAACATATATTGGCACGGAAGAGTGCATATATTGTTCATATTCTTCTTCTTGTTTCGTTATGGAGAAACCGAATTCCGATCCTATTCAAGCGAGACAGTGTTACTAAATAAGGCATGGCATGCACTATTAAAAATTTATATTTAATTTTTTCGTCTAACACCAAACACTGACGTGAATTTCTGGAATTCAATTAAAAAAAGTTATGATTAAATTATAGCTAGTTTACGTATATACGAAGTATATACTACGTATTAATTTCTAGGACAAGCATATCTAATATAAAATGTATAATTACCCAAGACGAAAGAGGCAGCCAGGAAGCCGCCATGTTTGGCTCGGAGAGCTGCTCTATTTCTCCAATCTACGTACCCTTCCCATGTCCTCACCTCCTCGCTTCCACCTATTTCCTGCAATTTTTTTTGAATTTATTTATGAAAAAATTTGAGGAAAACTAAACCAGATAAATTAATTTTGAATATATCTAAGTATTTTAAAGTTCTTTTTTAAGAGAATACTTCTATGAAAAAGGACACTTTTATGAAAAAGAATGACACCGCCCTTAAGGCTCAAGACTGGCCTGACAGTCATCTAAAAGGATGTAATTTCAATTTTGATCACATTTTAATGGAGAGAGAATGATGTTTTAATCTAAGTCGTTACTTAGAATCGAATCGGATCTCTTCATTGTGACACCTCGTCTCACCAGGTGATCGAGCTAACCCGGCAAAAGAATACTTTTATATATACACATAAAAATATATTTGTAGAAGATTCTTTTAAAGTAAGATTAGGGAAAGAAGAGAAGTGATAGGAAGAGAGAAATTGTAATACTTACCATTGTTGTGTTGGAATTATCTGAAGTGTTGAGGTGAGTTGGTTAGGATATGATTGATAAGGAAGGCAGCGAGGTAAGAAGATAGATGGCAACTGGACAGGAGATTTAATACAAGTGATGAGGACGGGATATGTCCAAAACTGTATAGTATGGGGGGCATTGAAGGATCGAACGTTTTATGGTTTTTCTATAGTGTAACGTAACCTTTTATGGACCTTTTTTTATTTTATTTCCCTCTAATTTTGACATTTGCACGTTTGACAATCCGAGATGGATACAACAAATGAACAAATTGCGTGGCCGGGTAGATAAGTCATGATGGGGATTGTGTAAATGTGTATGTTCAGTTTAGTAGGGGTGGGTGGGATGGCATTGGCCATTGGCTATGTACGAGATGCCGCTCATTCGCTTAGAACCTTCCAAAAGTCTTGTCGGATAGGAACGAAAGGGTCTTTGGGGTTGGGGTTCAACCTTTATTAAGAATGAGATGCGAGAGTTCACCCCTTCCTCTCTCCTACAAGTCAAATCCCATTATTACCAATGACAAATTACAATACACAAGTCAACTAAGAGCCAATATATATGGTATTTTCGGCTTATCAAGTTTATCAACCAATTTTTTATCAAATACAGATTACGTAATTTTTGATTTCGCACACTGAATTGTGTAATCATAAGAAAAAGTAAGGTTGACGTTAATTTTCTGGTTGTATTGGCTGAAGTTACCGTATGTGACCATTTTAGCTATTTTTCATATCATTTTTTATTTATTTTATTAATAAAATGTATTTTAAATATTATTTTTTCATAAATCAACAGAATCAGCCAATACGGCTCCTTCAACCAGAACTTCATAAATTTCAGCTGAATCAACTGATTTCAGTGTTACCAAACATGCTCTAAGTTTGGTGATCTTGATTTTCGGCTTAACAACCTTATCAATCAAGTTTTTCATCAAACACTAATTTTTGTTTTCATGCATTGAATTGTGTAATAAACAAAATAAGTAAGATTGAAGTTACTTTTCTCGGTGAATATGCTATAGAGGATCATTTTAGCTATTCTTCATAGACTTTTTTTATTTTATCGATAAAATTTACCCCGTATTTTAATTTTTTTTTTCATAATCAACAAAATCGACCAAGTCATCCAAAATTTCACAAATTTCAGCAGAATCGGTCATTCTGCCTATTTTAGTGTTACCAGACGGATTTACAAGTCATCTAATTTAAATAAAGTACGTAGTATGACACTGTCATGTGGCAAAGAGGAGCCAAATTAATTAAGACTAGAGTAATTCATCAACATCAACGATCTCTCCAAGGAGGAAGTCCAGACCCTCGTGGACAACATTGTGACTGGCATGCGAGTTGACATGTCAGCCCTGCCCCTGTTAGCAGAAAATCAGAAGCGGATGAAGAAAATCATCCAAGGGATGCATGACTCCCAGTTGAGCAAAATTGTTGCTCATCCTTATGAGCAATACAGTACAAAGGATGTTGCCGAATTCTACCTGAATGCTACTATCAGTGGAGAAGCCATCTACTCTCAAGTTCAGGGCAAGGACTTGAAGATTGACGCTGACGCTCTGAATGAATTCTTTGGCGTCCAACTCGACTCTCAGGATCAGGATACCCCCACTCTCATTGATCTTGACATAGTGGATATCTTTGTAGAGTCCTTCGTTGACATCTACTGCCGACCTGAAGTCACCGGAGTGGAAAAGCTATACATGAAGAAGTTTTTACTGAAGAAGGACTATGAAAAGCTAGTCAGCATCTTGCACAGATGCCTATGGTGCAAGACCGGATCCACTGATGAGATGAACAATGCAAACGCCAAGGCGATCTATGCAGTTCATCGGGGCATGAACATTGACTGGGGAAAGGTAATCTTCAAATCCATCTCAGAATCTGTGAAGAAGAAGGACAAGAAGACTGGCCTATTCTCAACAAAAATGGGTCATGGTCTTCTAATCTCAAAAGCTATCACCGGTCAAGGAGTGGAACTCAGGAATCCCTCCAAAGTTGACCATTCCAAATCCATCTTCCTCACTGCTTCACCAAAGCTAAATGTAGTTGTGGCTGCTGAGTTGGAAAGAGAGCAAAGACTCGAGGAGAAAAGGGAAAAACTGGCTGCTAAGCCCAAAGCTGCCCCCAAGAAGGCCATCAAGAAGCCTGAAGTAGCTTCTGATCAGCAAAAAGTACAGAAGGCAGAGAAAACCAAGAAGAAGAAATCAGAAAAACAACCTGAAGCCATATCAGAGGAGAATGCATCAGAGGGGGCTGCATCAGACACCGCCTCTTCCAAATCTGTCAGCAGACCACCTGTGAAGCAGAAGAAGTTGAGGAAAAGAAGAAAGATGGTGGTTAAGAGTGATTGTGACAGCTCTGCACCCCAACCAAGCAAAAAGAAAAAGAAAAGGGTAACGACTCCGCCCAAGGGATCAGAAACTCAGGGGGAACTTGCACTAGAGGTACAACCCTCCTTTGTACCAGACATGCCCATTGCTGACTCTCCACCAGAGCATCAAGCCTCTCCTACTAAAGTCCCTGAAATTGACCCGAATACTGCACTGGACAAGCAATTTGAAAGGGTACTCACATGGAGAAGATGGAGAATGGGACCTCTTCGCCAGATTGTTGAGCAACTAGATATGTTCGAATCAGAGGAAGCTACAATTCTGAATTGGGCAGGCACTGAAGATGTGTCCAAGTGCTTTGATCTCCAATTCCTTGAATCTGTCCTGATCCAGAAGAAGGCAGATCAAAAGGGAAAGGCACCTCTGATCTCTACTTCACCAGAGAGACATGTCAAAGCCTTAGCAGAACATGAAAGGGAGGACTTTGATGCCTGGCTGATGGAGAAGAAACGCAAGGAATCTTTGATCAAGTTTAAACCCATTCAGGGTGCTGAAGGTGAACCCTCCACTGCAAATGACTTGCCACTTGCAATGGAAAATCTAATCAAGGAATGGAGAGACTTCCAGTTTGAACTGTACTTGAGGTAATCCCCAACTCTCCATCTCCTCCTCATCAAGTTGCTACAGACATCCCCCATCTCCTCCTAAACAAATTTCATCCCCTAAACCTACCACACCCTTCTCCACACCTCCTCAATCCCCCATCAAACAAAATACTCCTACCCCATCACATCAGAAAACCCCAACCTCAGATAAAACTCCCTCACCATGCCATCAGATAACCCCTACCAGAAACCGCTCCCCTTCACCACCTCCTCCTTCTCCACAACATCAGAGCTCCCCTCACCAGCAAACCAAAGCTGCCTCCACCCATCAACAAAAGCCTCCATCCAGAACTGCTACTCCTCAGCACTCATCTCACCACTCCAAGGCTTCCACACCCAAGAGACAAGCTCCTATTCGCGTTCTGTCATCTGATAGTTACAATGATGGTTTCCTTCCATCATCCCTTGCTGGTGATCTCAGTTCCAAAAGAAAGACAACTCCCAAAAAGGAGTCCTCCCAGAAACCACCTTCTCTGCAGTAACCTGCTGAGCAGCGCTTTACATTGCCAAAAGGCAGAAGTTTACTAGAGCCCCAGATACCTTTCAATAAGTTTGTTGAAGTTGCAGAAGAATTTGGTGATCAAGTTGTAGAAGGCATGAATAAGATCATATTGGTCAATCAGAAGCATGATGCTCATCTAGATCTTGTCCAATACAATCTTGAGTCAGAACTTCAGAAGGTTACTGCAAGCGTTGCAACCTTATCTGCAAACCTATCCTCCTTCATGAAAGCATCCACTGAGAAGATAGATGGGATCTCCAAAGAAGTGGATGGAATCAACTCTGTCCTCTTCTTCCACTCCAATGCTCTCAAGGATCAAGATAAAGTCCTCAAGGAGATATCTGAGGCCGTTGACATTCTCCAATGGTCTCATGACAGAAATAAGGAGCAACTACTAGACATTGAGGAACTCTGCAAGACGCACAAGGAGACTGCTTTGACCCTGATCAAGAATGATAAGGAAAGATATCAGAAATTGATACTCCTAGAAGCCAGCACTAAAGATATTCAAACTGCTGTTGAGAAGCAACAAGGTCTGATCGAAGGACTCACTGCTGTCACACAAACTCTGCCTGATACTCTCGAAGAGATTAAAAACTCTCAAGCCTCAGAGTTCTCTAAAATTGAACTCCTTCTTGGTGATCTTGTTGATGCCAAAAAGGGGGAAGAGACCAAAGAAAAGGGGACCAGAGAAGCAGAAGGTTCAAGTGCTCTGATATCCAGGAAGGCTGCCTCAGTTGACCCTGCAATTTATTTTGAAAGAACCAAGCAGAAGCAGATTGCTGCGGGTATTCACAGACCTCCTCCTCCAAGACAATCAAAGAAGAAAGCCTCAACCTTCTCATTCACGAACTGGCTGAACAGTGGGATGTCTAGACCTGACAGAGTTCAGTTTGAACAGATGAGAAAACTAATGACTCCCCTGCAGCAAGAGAATCTTACACTTGACAGTGATGGTCTGATAAAGATTAACCATGGTGGATCAATTCAAGAAGCAGAAGACTGGTGGAGGATGAGAGTGATTCCGGGGAATACAATAGCCGAAGCAATTAGAAACTATCTGGATTGCAAGCTTGAACTTCACTGGTCTGAATATCAGAATCCAAGGAATCTGGCTATCATCAGAGCCAAAGTAAATGCAGAACTCAAGAAGAGTGAAGAAGCTGAAAGACGTCTAGAAGAGGAAGACTTCTAATCCCTCTATCTTTTGTATTTTCTTGAACTCTGATACATATATAAAGATAACCTCTCCGCCTCTATTTTGCATGGCACTCTCATATACCTTGTTCTTTATTGCTTTCTGATTCATCTCTTGCTCTGATACTGTATTCTATTTTGTGCTATCTTGATTGTATCTTACTCTTACTATTTTCCTATGCTAAGCTGCCCACCAAGATTTTAAATGAAAGTTTTTGACTTATTTTCTTTTATGGTGAAAGGCACTTCTCTGGAAATAGTTTAAGGGTTTTGGCATCATCAAAAAGGGGGAAATTGTAAGGAATAAATGTACTTAGATTTTGATGATGCTGGGTTATTTAGATATTTAGACTACCCCTTTAGAAATCTTGTATTAGATTTTTACTTTGTAAGTATTAGCATAGTCGACTGGTCAGAGACCCTCTTGGTTCTCTCATAAG